TAAAGGCTGGGAGCTACCCCACAGCCCTTGGAGGTCGCGGTTGCTGCACCTTCTGGCTGTCCACACTGCAGGTTTCATGTCCAGCTCTGCCCCACTGTGTACTGCAGCGGAGAGGAGCCTTTGTTTCGGTACCTGCCCAGTTTCATGTGCCATGGGGGCTGTGGACATTTGTTAGGGAAACACCCTGTCTGGTCCCATGCAGCTCATCCTCCCTGCGTGCATTTCGGGCCAGCAGTTCCTGATCCTAGGAGAGCCCCAGCCTTTGCACAACACACTGGAAACTCAAGCAAAGAGCCTGGAGGAGGACCAGAGCTTCTCCTCCTCACCTGAGCTTGTCTCTAAAGTTCCTCTGGTCACTTCCGCCAGCCTTGGTGCAGAAGGGCAGTGAAGGGCACATCTCCTCCCTTTGCTGTTGCTTTCCAGTCACCAATCTCCCTCAGCAGTGTCCCAGAGTGAGCAGCCACCCACAGATCCCCCTGGCTATGGGGCAGACCCCCACATCCCCCCTGCATCCTCCCCAGCCTCGCAGCCACCCCACCAGAAAGAAACCAAGAAGAGCTGGAGGGTTTTGATTGATTTATCCACTGAAGATACAAGTTTGGGTTTAATAACACCATTCTGTCCGGTTACAAACATACTAAAAACCTACAAAAAGAAAAAACAAGTTACACCCATCGTACACAAAACAGCATGTATAAAACCAGCACGGAAGCGCCGAGAAACACGTACATGAACAGTATCCACAGCAGGAACAGGAAAGACACAGAGTTACATCAGACCACGGCAGCTCATGTCTGCGGGTCATGGTGGGACTGGTTAAGACGTACTAACAATTAGAGACAACTTCAGCTATGGAAAATAATTAGTGTCGCCGTCTGTTAAATAGGTCAGACCCAGGCGGGTAAGTTTTATCCCTCCCATTCGGATAAGTTAGTCCAAGATTAGCTCATGGGTTTCCCTTCCACCCACCTGCCTGGCATCTCCGGTGCTGGCCCTGAGCTGTCCTCACACGGACATCAGGGCACCAGGGCGGCTTCCCTAGAGCAAGGAGCAGGGAAGGGTGAGCTCTGGCACCAGAGGCCAGCCAGTCGAAATGTGGTCCCCCACTGAAGTCACTGGGCTTCTCCCCAGACAGCAGGGAGATGCTGGGAACCCCTTTGCTGGGGCAAACTGGCAGGGATGCAAGAAGAGCCCCTGGGAGAGCCTGCGGCTCAGCTGCCTCGGCCGTGGAGATGTGTCTTGGTGTGAGAAGGGTGGTGGCACAAGGTCCCTGGGGTTCCTTGTCTGAGCAGCTTGGCGGCATTGAGGTGTCTCTCTAGCTGGCCAGGTGTACATGGAGCTATACCTGCTGTGACCATTGGCTATAGTGGGGTGGGATAGGGTGGATGGGATCTGTGTCCTATCCCAACCCAACCCTTCCCATTACCTCCTGTGCTGACCTCCCTCTGACCAAAGACAGTGTCAGCCTTGGGGTGGGGGACACAAGCTGGTTGATATAAGTGGGTGTCCCAAAAGGGAGACACAACAGGGTGCTCAGCAGGAGAACCCTGCCCTGGGTACACCAAATCCCCACCATTCAGCATTCACCTGCTGCTGGCAGGGGCACAAAGGCTTTCCCACCCTGGTCATGGGTCCAAGCCCAGCCCTGGTGCTAACACCGAGACGCTGGCTGAGCCAGGGGATGGATCCTGTCCTGGTTACAGGGGCGGCAGCTCAGAGCTGAGCTTGGACAGCGTGGGGACAGCTGCAATGGCATGGGGACAGCTCCCATGGCATAGGCACCAAGGAGGAACAGAGCGAGCAGGAGCAATCTAGCAGCATCCCTGGGGAAGGCGAACAGGATAGGGGGGGATAGGGGTCCCTCCCAGGGAAAGGGAGAGACCCACCAGTCCCCAGCATGTGTCAATGCCATGCCCTGTGCTCCCAGCTTCTCAGCTGTGAATTCTGGGGGAACAACTTGGCAAGTCAGTCCCTACCTGCCGCTGCCAAGGAGAGCAAAGCCGAGCCTCAGGCACGTGTGGGCAGCACCCTTATCCCAGCCCAAGTGCGCTGGAAGGTGAAACCTCAGGCCCCAGGAAGTAGGAGCTGAAGGACAGGGAGCCAAGGGGGTCCCCAGTTGTCTGTGGTAGGTTCTGGGGGGCGATGGCAGTGACAGGCAGAAGCTGAGCAGGCGTGTACATGTGCGTGCACTGGAGAACCACGTTCGGAGCCAGGACCCAGCCTCCCTTTCTGCTGTTCCACACAGCATTTATCAGCCCTGTCACTCTGGAATGGTATTTTTCCCTTTTTCTGTTCATTTTCATCTCTCCCTAGATGAGAGTTTTCCCCGATTTAAGCAATGCCTGCTCTGCTGCGGGCGGCGAAGAGGGGGTGTTCGCTTTATCTCCGTCTCTTCCCCTCACAAGCTCTGCCCTGACTGCCCTCCCCACTTCATCTTGCTTCCTACAGAGCTGGTAAAAATAAACATGTTTTTGTTTGCGTATACTCGACCGGCCTGCAATTTGGCTGATGGGGGAGCTCCTCGAGGGACAGCAGCTGCACACATCTGGATTTGCTTTAGAAAAATGTGCCTGGAATAAACCCCAAGCCCAGTACACACACGTGGGTGCAGGAGATCACGGGTCATTTATTTTCTAGGGATGCAAAAAGAGAAAGAAGAAACCAAGCCCCATTCAAAGATGAGGTAGGGGGGACCTCACTGCTGCCCCCCAAAGCCAAGGCACTGGGGTGGGTCAGACATGAACACAGGGACTTTCTGGCCACCCTAAAATCACTTCTCTGCTGACCACAACCGAGCCCAATTTTGGTTATGGGAAGGGAAAGGAAGGACTTGCACCGCAAAGTAAAAATTGCCACCTGGAGAATATTAACCTCAAAGGTTAATGGATGAGCTTTGTCTAAAGATGTAACATCCCTGTATAGAAACATCCTTGGCCCAGCATCCGCAGAGCGTGAGGAGTACATGAACTCATTGAAAATATGTGCTGCTGGCCCCGAGGTTTTGGCAGAAATTGGTGGAGCCGCGCTCGTGAGAGTCCCGTGATACACGAAAAAAATATGAAATAGTAAAAATCTAACAGTCTTGCTCCAAGCAATCTTTCTCCAGCCTTGCACTGGAGCAAAGTCAATGACGGCACAGGTCTTTTCCCATCTGCACAGGCCTAATCCTGACCCTGGCCAGCAGTTGATGTTTGAAAGACGCCTCCACCAGCCTTGCAAGGGCTGGGCAGCTGCTTTGACATCCCGACATGAGCCGGAGGCATTGGCTGCCGGCACCTTCAGGGGTGCGGGCTGCTCAGTTTTGGAGGTGCTGACCCTATATGCCAGCCAACCCTATAAGCAAAGCAGCATCCCCTGTCACCCCATGCCTGTCCCTTCCTTTTACAAACTCCCTGATCTCGTACACTGCTATGACAAGGACAGCCGTGCCCAGAGCAGCCGCTGCTACCCAGCTCCTGGCTCCATTGCTCCTCTCCACCTCTTTCATTGTGGGACATGGGGAGAGAAGAACTGCAAAGCCAGAGAGAGGAGCTGTAGTGGCATTAGTGGAGTCCTGGGGCTGTTTTAGGGCTAACCCTGGTCCCAGGGCTCTGCAGGAAGGCAAAGGGCTCCCAGAGGCAGTGCACCAGGTGATGGCACAAACTTGGGGCTGCATCTCATTGAGTGCAGAGGAACAGGAGAAGACCTCCCCCTGCTGCCATTTTGAGCAGTGGTCCCCAGGGTCACTGCCATGGTGGTGCCAGGGCCGGGGGACAGAGGAACCCCTTGGCATGGAAGCAAAATGCCAAAACCAGGGGAAAAAACCCTACTCCCCAGGGATGATTAAAAGCTCAGATGGTTGTGGGTGAGCAAAGCAGGAGCCACTGGATGCTCCAGAGGAGGGGGGTCAGCCCTGGGGACAAGGACTGCTGCCCCCTCCAGCAGTGTCCCCATAGTGGGAGGATGTCCCCAGGGGATCCCAGCTGGGAACATGGGCTGGGAGAGGAGAGGAGCTGGTCTCCCCCAAAAGCTGGAGATCCGGAGGGCAGTAGTGGGGTGAGGCTGGAGGAAATCTCAGAAGGGAACCCTCCTCCCACTTTGGTGGGTGACATTGCCCTTAACTTTAGGGTTTTAAAATTAACAGAGACATTTTGGGAACTACTGGGTGGCAAGGATGTCAAAGTTTCCCAGCACATCTGATGGTTCATCCCCAATCCTTTGAGAATCAGCCCCCAGAGCATCCTATAAATCCAAGAACAAGCGTGCAGGAGGCAATGGGGCTGCTCTTCCTCCATTTTTGTAACCAAAGGGGAAACTGAGGCAACAAAACCAAGCAGACTCACCCACAGCTTCAGGGGGAGTCAGTGTCGGAAACAAGATGAGTACTGTGAGCCTTGCAGCCACATCTCATTTTTGGGGGGAAGCCCTTTGCCAGGCACAGGCACGAGTGCTGCCGGCTCCCGAGGAGGGACACAGCTCCTGCATGGGTCGATTTCTACCAGGCACTTTATTTGAAGGACCCCAATTTCACCAAAAGGGCAGGACTAGGCTCTACGTAACAAGTTATTTACTAATTTTAACAGAGTAAGGACCTTGCTGCACACCCAGGAATCCCTCCTGCTATGGCCACTTCATCTTTCCCCCTCCTGACCACCAACCCTGTCAGGTGAGTAGAGAAAGTCCAAAGCAAAGTGTTTTTGGTGCCAGCCAAGCAGTCAGCGGTCCCTATAAGCATCGTGCCCCACAGAAGCAAGGAGCCAGGTTTAGCAGGGGGTTTTGTGTGGAAAACAAGGGTCGTGTTGTTCATCAGCGAATGGGGCTGCATGCCACGGCTTGTGCAAGGGACTTTGAGATGGTGCAAGTGAGGTGCAGGATTGGGGAGGTGGTGATGGACAGGCCAGGACAGTAAAGATGGAGCCAACAACCAACGCTCTCCCTCATGCTCTGCATCCCCTTCCAGTGTCCCCTGCATCTGCTTCACCCCGATCCACCCGCACCCTTCGTGGTTCTTTTTATTTTTGGCTTATTTAGTTTGCTTTTAAAACCCCATGGAGATCAAATTGTGACTTGACCGATAACAGAGCTGACTCGAGCGGGCTCCCCAGACTGAGCGCAGATCTTGAGAAGAGACCAGAGTGAAGTCCTGGGGTGAGCGAAGCCCTCCCCACCCCTCGCCTGGCCCCGCTGGCCGCTCACAGGGTGGCGGTGGGGTACTGCGCCCAGCCCACCTCCTTGTAGGCCGCCGTCACATGGGTGTAGATGAGGGCCTTCATCTTGGTCCAGGCGCCATGCGCCTCCGGGGTGAAGTCGTTGGCAAACTCTTCAGCAATGACCTCCAGCATGACACCAGTTAGTTTCTGAAGGGAGGCAAACAGCAAGGGGTTAATACTGTCAGCAAATTTAGCTTTTTTGCTAAAAAAAACCCCCAGTTTAATCTGAGTTCTGCCAACTCTCTGCAGGACAGACATTCAGGAGGTCTGTCAACACTCCAGGGGACAGCTAGGGCAGGTAGGGGAGGCTGAGACCCAGGCATGATGTGGTGCTGCTTGCAGGTTCAAGCATCTCCCTAATTTGGGCACCTTAAATTATTTTGTCCCTTCTATGAAGCTTAATTTCTAAAAGAAGGGACATATGGCCACAGGTAGGAGTGTTTCCCTGGGCAAGGTGAGGTACTTGATGGTCCAGCATTGGATGCATTTGGGAATGGTGGTGTGGGTGGGACAGCATCACAGTAGGACACTGTGGCCATGCAAGGAGCCACCCCCATGACCAGGGAATCTCCTTCGGGTGAGAATCAACAGCACCAGCTCACCACAGCTCCCTGTCTCCTGTCCTCTTCCTAATTTCTAAAGCATCCCAGATTGTTCCCATCCTTTACCTTAAAGTAGATGGGCTCCACTTTGTGCTTGAGGGCATGGGCCTTGCCCACCAGGGCCAGAACAGAGGAAACCTTTTCGGAGTCATTGATGTTCTCCACCACAGTGTTAATGGCACCCATGACCCGTCGAGCATGCTTACGCAGTTGCAAGCTCCTCTCCATCTCCAGCGGGTCCTCCATGTGCTTGAACTGGCTGAAGTACTGCTTGGCTGAGGGGAAGTTGACAAAAAACCTTCAGGAAAGAGTAGACATAAAATACCATCAGGATGGCGAGAGGTTAAAGCAAAGCATGGAGTTGTGGAGATGCTGGAAACCATCCCCTTGCACCTAACACAGTCAGGGCTGGTTTTCTCATTGAATTCCCTGGCAGATGCAGCATTCGGCTGCCTAAAACGGCCTTTCTCCCCAGCCTCCTCTATCTGCTACAAGGGCATTGCAGCTGGATACTTAACAAAGCAGACACAAGACTGAGTTCTTGATACCCAGAGTCTCCACTCAGGCATGCCAGATGCTCTATACATGCCCGCATACATCAAAATATCACATCCTGTCTCAGAGAGCTAGAGATGAACATGAAAATCTCTTACAATCCTAGCCAGCCCCTCCTTGCCCCTTTTTCCTAGTCCTGCAGCAGCTCCCTGGCCCCAGGGGCTTTATTCCTGCTTTGCCACCTAAAGTAGTCTCCCCCTGCCCAGGACACCCCTGACTGTCACAGTGCAGCCCCACCAGAGCCCCCAGCAAGATCCCAGCCCTGAGCTCTCATCGTTGCTCATCTGTGCCAAGAACCATTTCCCCAGCACAAGGATGCCCAGACACCCAGCCCACCCCACAGAGGACCGTCTTTTCTGTAAGAATAAACCAACCCCAATGAAATGCAGCCGAACCAAATGACGCCGAGGTTGCAGCTGAGGTACTGAGCTCCCTGGGGAGGTGGAGGGGGTTTGAAGGGCAAGAGGTGACAAGGTGCAGCTCTGGGGCCACCAGTGCCAGCACCATCGATGCCAGCACTCCAGCTGGTCACTCTCAGCTGACAGTCGAGTCGTGTTAACCCCCACCTTCCAACCAATTTACATGGGAGAGCACAGCAGCAGCATTTGCTCCCTTCTTTCACCCAGCTCCCTCCAATGGGGCTCTCCCTGCCTCCTCCTGGGCCACCTCGTTGCCTGCGCAGGCACCAGCAAAGGATGCTCAGGAGGTGATAGACAGCTCCCAGGGCTGTCCCAAATTGTCCTCTTTGTGCCAGATACCCAGCTGTCTCCTCCTCTCTCCCATACTGCAGTAACCCCCTCCCCAGGCACCATCCCAAACCACGTGAACCCATCCCACCCATTTTCCCAACCACCCCTACCTCCCTCCAGGACCAGGTGGGATCCTCTTCCCCACTCACCACTCCATGAATAACCACAATATTGAGGACCAGGCTCCTTTCCCCCCCCCCTTCCTTCCCCCGCTCCCTTGGCTTGCAAAAGCTCAGGGGCATTGCCAAGGGAGCAGAGTGAAGCAGTGCCTGGAGTGCACCACCGCCGCTTCTGTTGCTTCCCCGAGGCATCTGGGATTCATCAGCCGGCCCAAAATAGGTTTTGGAGGTGTGAAGTGTGTGGTGGAAAGGGTGGGGGAGGAAGGAAGGTGGAAAGGGGGAGACAAGGTGTTGCTTTTAAAACCCGGGGTAGGGGGGACCCGTGACAAAACTCCTCTTGCTATTGTGCAGCCCCCCCTGCAGCAAAGCTCCTTCTGACACATCTGGTCCCTGTCTGGAGAAATCACTCCCAGGCCTGGCTGCCCCCAGCTCCTGTCATTGCATTGATGCTCAGTCCATGCCCTTCAGCTCCGAGCTGTCAGGGAGGCCGTCAGAGTGAGGGGTGGTCAGGGATGGACACTGAGCCGGGGCCATGCAGATAACACTGCTCCTGGGATTCAAGACTTAATTCCCAAGCATTTCCCAACAGAAGGACGAAAGTTCCTCTCTGTTTTAACAGGACCATCTTACCCATCTGATCCCACCATCCTCCTCACGTCCCATCCCTCCCCACCTCTGGGCAAGCTGCTGCAGCTCCTGAGCCCGCAGCTCCCAATGCCCTCCAGCTACCAACAGCAAATGTTCACCGAGGTCGGAGCTAAGGGTTTTGCCATCCCTGATAGCAGATCCTTTCCCCCCTCACCCTCCAGCCCTGGTAGGCATTATTCTGGGCATTGGGAGCAGGCGGTGATGCTGGATAGGATCTGCTGCCCACAGACTGCCAGGGGATGGAAGCTGTGAGATGGTAAATGCACACCTAAGCCTGCGAATCCCAAACCATCAGAAGCTCCCTGAAAAGCCCTCTACTTGATCTGAGCTGAACGTCATGATGTTGTAAAGACCCAGGGAAAAATTCCTGGTCTGAGCCAGGCTCTTTCAGCAGAAGGGGTACAGCAAGCAGGCATCCACCCCTGCATCCCCAGGAATCACAGCAACTCCAAAAGAGTAGGGCTGAAAGAGGCTACTGGGGCCAATGACCTTCAGGAGCAGAAGCAGAGGCTCCACACCTCTCCCATGGCATCACCTCCACCTCTCTGCTGCTTTTGGCTAGCTACCCTGGGAGCAAAGATTGATCAAACCCCAAAGAGTCCCCAGCCTGGGTGACACCAGGCCAGTGAAGGATCCGAGAAACTGGTTTCCAACCCTTCCTCACTTTGCAGAGCATCAAGGAGGTACCTCTATGGGCTTTTGTCAATGGAGAACTGAAACAGAGAAGCCCAAACCACCTCTACTTCAAGTTGGAAAAGCAAATCTGTGGCTGGGCAGAGACCTGCAGCTGTGTCCCTTTGGCCAGGGCTGCAGAAAGGCAGGCATCTGCGGCAAGAACTTCTGGCCCAGAGCAAATATTTGAGCTGTCGAACCACGAAAAAGAGAGCAGGAAGCTTGCTCAGTGGTAGTTGCTAATAAACAGGGAAGATAAATTTAACACAAAGTTTAAATATAACCAGAGGAAAGTAGAGAGAACAAAAAGGAAGAAATAAAATAACTCAAACAATAGCAAATGAGAAGAGGTGTCAGTTGGGGATTTTCCATCTACAGAACATTTTTCAAGAGTTCAAACATCTCAGGCTCTGGAATTTTGTTGGCTCATTATACGTGTGTGTGGGGGGGGCTCTTCTTCTTCATTTGAGTCATTAAAAAGATTATATTTACCATTGCATATCACACAAAATGATGATTGATAGAAACCAGATGCCTGCATACCGATCTCATTAAATTTCTTTTAAAGCAATTCCATTCCGCACCCACTAATTTGTACTCTGCAAGATACATCTGGACCCAATGGACAGGATGTCAGGATTGCTTTTCCTCTCTCTTTTGCCCTTTTAACAACTTTAAGGACACAACTGTTCCCGGTAGCAGAGCCAAAGGAAATAATTAAGGTCCAAAACCACTGCAGTCACTGGGAACCTGTTTTCTGTTTGGGAGGAGAGAGACCACTTCTGCTTCCATTTCTCCCCCATCTCCCTGGGCCCTGCAAAGCAAACTCCACACATAGGAGATGTTAAAACCAAGCCATCTCTTTACTTTCCCAGTTGGAAAAGGGAAGGGAGCTGCTCCCTTGGTCCCCCTGAGCACACAAAGCCTTGATGCTTCACTTACCCTGTTTGCAGGCTGCAGAGGAAAATCACCAGCGAGCTCTCAAAGGTGCTGGGAGGCTCCAGCTGAACCCTCAGCCAGCACTTGGAGACTATTTTTTTGCTGGATTTTCCTACCAATGCTTTCATGTTTTCTCTCGCCTCATCCCTCTACGTGGGAGAAGCTCTCTTTAAGGCAGCCTGGAGCCTCTCTGCGTCCCTTTTCAAACCTTTCCTCCCAACTCCTCTCTGCTTGGGTGCCCACAAAGCAGCTGATAATGGGTAGGCAGGTGGTGTGTGGTGCTGCTATTTATTATGCTGGGGGCTGTCTCACCGCTTCCCCAGCACCTTCCCCCTGCTCCTCCCGGCCTCCTGAAGTCCACCATCTTGTGTCCAGGCTGGGGCAGGGGTGCTGGGTGCCTTACAGCTCCCAGGCCAAGGTGAGAAAGGGCTCAGCTGTGTCAATGGCACCACCCAGCACAACAGGAAAGGGCAAATTTAATTGAGTAAGAAGAGGATGCAGCCAAATACATTTGGGCATGAGCTAGCAACCCCTGGGGACACATTCCGTCAGCCTGTGTGTTCACAACTTCCACCCCTGAGTCCTCATTGCTGTTGCCTTCCCCTACCACGTATGTGAATTCAGCTCAAAGCCTCCTGGCTGCATAGATGAACCTTTAGGCTGTAAGGATAGCTTTCGTCAGATAAATGAATTAACAGTGCCAAAGTGGCTTTCCTCCATGCCCATGGTTTCCTACGGCCCTTGTAATCCCCTTTGCTCAGTGCCTTCATCCACAGCATCATCCTCAGCCCCTCCATATTTGTGTCCCTGCCCCTCTCCACAAAGCTGCCATCCCTGCCTGCATCCCTGCCCACATCTCTGCCCACATCCCTGCCCACATCCCTGCCTGCTGGGTACAAGCAGCTCACAGGGATGGCTATGTTGGCCCCCTCCACCCCTCCAGCAGCATTGATCCCCTGCACCAGGCACCCTTCTTATGGCTCTGTCAAGCAGGGTCAGCGTGGCCCAGCAAGGTCCAGGGGTGTAAGGAGACAATGCTCAGATGTGACTATTGCCTCTGAGACAGATGCATGGTGAGGATGGAGCTCGCTGGAGCCCATCTGCACATCCCCGACTCCCAGGGAAACAACTCCCAGCCGGGTGGAGAAGGGGTAACCCAGATTCACAAAGATGTGGTCCTCTGGGACCCACCACCCATTCAGCAAAATTGTGAATCCAATTTTTGCAGGTGTCCATCATCACGTCTCCTCTCCAACGCTTCCATGCTGGTTTCCAGCAGCCCTGGCTCAGTGTTATCAGCGGCTCCGCCGGCCATCTGCCCCCAGTGCCATGCTCCAGCAGCATTGCCAGGCAGCACCCCCTGTTCCCAGCACCTGTGAGCCAGGAAGGGCTGTCCTGAGATTTCCCAGCCTCTAATGAACGCTGAAGCTTCACAGACAGGCATTCACCAGACCTCATTTGGAGGTACAGCCCCACTCCAGTGCCGCAGACTCACTAATGGAGCTGCTCAGTGGAGTGGAGACTTGGCCCTCGCCTCCTGCTCCATGGGAGGGATTTGCAGGGCTGGTACCAACACATCCAGTGTGTCCTCGGCCACAGCCAGGGAATACATCTGG